TAGTTTTATATAAATACGATTGCGGTTTTGTCGATCGTGGCCTTCGCCAACTATTGGCTGCTAGTACCAGCGTTCGTAATGATCGCGCTGCTGTTTCTCTGTCGTGTGCTCTACATCAACGCGAGTCGCAGTCTTAAACGCATTGAGAGCTTGAGTAAGTTCAAATAAAGGTTTAGGCTTAAAATAGACCTCACATTTTTACTACTTTGCAGCGCGCAGCCCCGTGTATTCGCACACAAATCAGACATTCCAGGGTCTCACTACAATACGTGCGCTCAATGGCACCAACCATTTGGATAAGGAGTACCACAGTCATCAGAATACCAACACTTCAGCGCTATTTCTCTACGTGAGCATTAACCGCGCTTTCGCCTTTTGGACCGATCTTATTTGCGTGCTTTACATACTAGCGGTTACTTTTAGCTTTTTGGTAATCGAAAGCGACTTCTACAGCGGTGACGTCGGTCTCGCGATTACCCAGTCCATGACACTGATAATAATGTGTCAATGGGGTATGCGTCAGACAGCCGAAATGGAGAATAATATGACGAGCGTAGAGCGTGTGATCGAGTATGCTGAGTTACCGTCAGAACCCGCTTTGGAGACCGACACGAAAGCCATAGCTTTGCCTAAAACATGGCCGAGCACTGGTGCTGTACAGTTTACAGATCTCTACTTGCGCTACGCGGAACAAACTGAACCAGTACTTAAGGGCTTGAACTTCTCCATCAATTCGATGGAAAAGATCGGCATTGTGGGTCGCACAGGCGCTGGTAAATCCTCCATTATACAAGCTATCTTTCGCTTAGCGCTGAATGAAGGCGCTATAACAATTGATGGTGTTAATATCGGCTCGTTGGGCTTGCACGATTTACGCAGTCGTGTATCGATTATACCGCAAGACCCAGTGCTTTTCTCTGGCACACTGCGTTACAATCTCGATCCGCTGGAGCAGAAGGCGGACGAAGAGTTATGGCGCACTTTGGAAGACGTCAAGTTGAAGAATTATGTATCAACTTTGGAAGGTGGCTTAAATTGTCGCCTGCATGACGGTGGTTCGAACTTTAGTATGGGTCAAAGGCAGCTGGTCTGCATGGCGAGAGCCATACTGAGGCATAACAAATTGCTAATCATGGACGAAGCAACAGCCAATGTGGATCCAGAGTAAGTTGTATTGCTCAATGCAGTTTTTAGTAGATTTATCAATGTATTAACTTAATTTCTTTCATAGAACTGATATGCTCATTCAGGAGACGATTCACACGAATTTCGAACACTGTACGGTCCTAACTATTGCTCATCGCCTAAACACCGTTATGGACAATGATAAAGTAATGGTGATCGATGCAGGTCGTCTGGTTGAATTCGGTCATCCATATGATTTATTACGTGATACAAATGGTTTCCTCTACAAGCTGGTGCAGAATACCGGTAGACTCTCGGCGGAAATTCTGCATCGTGTGGCGGAGAAAAGCTATAGAAAGCGTGTCGGTAAATCCGAGTGAAAATAACTGGAGTGGTGGAGTTTTTTTGCGGCTTCTAAGCTTTACGACGCTGAAAAATAATTTAAACTTTTTACTATTTATGTAAAAATATATTCGGTATTAAGCAGAAAAACCTAGATTTAAGAATTGCGAATTTTTGTAGTTAAATTTCTATAAAGAAAAAATTAAATATGATTTTCGGGTAGTTTCAAATGTTTGATAGAGAGAGGAGGTATTGTAAAGCGTCTTTTATACAATATTTCTTTAAGTTTTTATTCAAAACTTTTTAAACAAGATGGTAACACTAAATGCAAAGCGATTTTTCAGCTTTCAAAAGTTTAGCATCAAATACCTGGGAAGAAAAACGTTAACTCTTACAAATCTCGAAAAAGTTAAATCTTTTTCTGAAATATATACATATGTGAACTGAAACACTAATGTATCTGACCTTAAAAGATTCTACATTTCAATTCGTTTAAAATTCATGATCAATGCGAAGCATCGGATCTTAGGCGCACCACCGTGAAAGTCACAACGCTATCAATATTGCTGCTGTTCGTCAAAGGGAGTATCCACGCCAAGAGATCTTATCTATGTTAAAAAGCGGCTTAAACTCGAACAGAACGTGAGAGAACTTGGTTCAAAGCCGAAACCATCGAAATAAATTACCGAAGATTTACCGATAAAAAGATAAAAGTTGAAAGAACGTCTGCGCAAAAAAGTCCTCAGTGAAGTGATATTAAGTTTACGAGCACCAGATGGCCCTTACTTTGCGCGACTCCGATCACTGATGATGCTGGTGATCACACATAAGGCCGATCATGCCACAGAAAATGCATGTGCTGAAAGCAGAACGTGAAAGAATGCACCCACTCAGCATTTTCTGAGTACATTCTCAACTAAATAGTGCAGCATGGAATGACTTACATGTGCCATAGTTGAATGTTTTGTAAGCTTATTTTCAGTTGAATCAATTAATTCAGTTACAAAATCAAAACTCCATGTATTTAAAACTTAACTCGTGCAATTGAGGTCGTGTGTTTTGAATAGCGTCGTTCATTCAGCCTGCGTTACGACCGATAAATTATAGGAACAACGGCATGAACTAGTCCTCTACTCATCGTAATTACCATAATTGACTCGCAGGGAGTTCTTTTTTTCCAAAATCTAAAAGTAGTTCGCTGTATAAATATTTCCTTCAATTCACATGAGTTTGAAGCTACGCTATCTATGAGTTTGTTCTCGGCAGAGTTTTGTTCTGGTGGTATTTTACTCAACGATTTTATTGGTATAAGTTTGGTACCACACGAAAGTGTCTTATAGCTAACCCACCGCAGCATTCATGTGTGGCATTGACACCTCCAGGATGGTGGACAAGATTTCTGACCTGAACTCGCAGCAGATAGACCGTCCAACTAATGAGAGAACCATTACCAGGTAATTGGACTCAACAATGTTGGAATCATTAAGAATTTTGAGATTGTTCTAAGCTGAATACAAAGATCAGATATTTAGTTTTCTTCCACTAGGATTTCTTTAAATTTAAAACTACTTGAACACCTTAATGTTCCAAGCGAGAACTTTAGATGAACTTAACTTTAATTAGTTGGTATTAAGAAATATACCATATTAGCAAATTTGATACGCACAAATGATATCAATTGGAAGTTAACAAAAACAATAAGAAGAGTCTAGCAACGGTATAAATGCAAATTCCAGACTATAATTGACAGCTGCGAAGGTCTTCAAGATTCCTTAAAAATTTTTAAATAAACACTTAAAACTAGAAAAAACGTTAACTGCGGTGGCACGAAAGCTATAACACCCTTCAAAAATACAAAACATTCCTTACAAGAAATTGATTTTGATCAGTCAGTTTGTACGGCAGCTATAGTGACGCGATCTGAATAATTTCTTCAGAGGTTACAACGTTGTCATGCCAAATTTTGTGAAAATATCTCGTAAACTGACAAAATTTTTCATACAAGCACTCGATTCCGACCGTACAGTCTAGGTGATCCGATCTGAACAATTTTTTCGAAGATTCCACCGTTGACGTATTGAATAACACATAGCAACGTTGTTCAAGATATCTCGTTGAATTAAAAAGTTTTCTATACAAGAACCTGATGTAAATTGTATGACGGCTATTTGCTAAAGTAGTCCGATATCAACGGTTCCGACAAAATTTCAGATTGATATCTCAAAAAATGACGGACTATTTCGCGTATACTCTTATACAGATAGACAGACATGGTTAAATCGAATTAGCTCTTCGCGCTGATCATTTATATTATATACATATATACTTTATAAGGTCTCCGACATTACCTTTTAGGTATTACAAACATCAAGACAAAATTAATATACCCTGTTCAAGGTATAAAAAGACCAGGTATGGTTGAACAAGTCGCCTCCTTTCTTGTAGATTCCATTGAGGCAGAGGAAAGAACAGACTGCATATAGACTGTGGAAACAGTTTTTAAACTTTCCTAAAGGTTATTTCATATACAGAAACCTTAAAAAGAGATAAAAAATGGTTGAACTCGTCACCTTATTATTTAGTTGGAGCAGTATACATGCTCAACATCGGGCGTTTTTTTCCTGTTGCTTTAAGCCATTCTTTAGACTTAACATTTGTTTTTCTAATTTGTTTTATTTCTTTTTATTTTTATTTTTTTAATGTGACGCGGAGCAATACTAACGTTCTAACCGCTAATTTCTTTCACTTTGCCTTTTGTCACTTACTGATTCACATTGCATAATACAACAATTGCAACAACTAGACGCCATATTAATGATTTACATCTTCAAAGTTTTTTTCTTTCTTCACGGCGTGTAACTGTACACATGCTCTCTAATATAAAGACTGGAATAAATCTTAATTTACTTAAACGAACGCTAGCGCATAATCTGCGAACTGAGCTAGCTGGATGCAAAGCATTTCCTTTCCATATACATATAAGAGCGACTGCGTACAGGTTATATTTATTAAAATCAACATACAATCCGATAGTCATATGAAACTATAAGTAGCTACTGGTAATTTGCAGATACGTCAAGAATAGCAAAGAGTTCAAAGTCTGCAAAACACTCACTTATCTACACCCGCTTCAATATTTTTCACAACAGTTTAAAGCGCACTGTAAACAAACGAATGACCAATCGGAGTGCAGTAACTGCTGACAGCCGCGCAGAGAGCTACAAGTACATATGGGTAAGTGTGAGAGAGTTGAATGCTTTGAAGAGCATTCGAAGCTTGCGTGCTCTATTTGTGGGTGATCTTGCACTAATACAAGTAAGCACCACTGCGCAGAATTATCATAACATTTTCGTTAGAGTGAAGATACGTACACACAAACCCCGTAAAGAACACACACGATCAAAGCAAAGCTAATTCTTAATAGAATAATAATATTTAGATTTGTCAAGTAGCTCTTCAAGACTTACTGTCTAGAGACAATAAATGTAATAACTGTAAAATTACCGTAAATTGACACCCTCAGGTTCAACATGCTGCGAGTAAGTTGATCAACATTTGACGAGCCACTTAGTGATATGCAACCGTGTTTAGCGGCTAATTTGTGCACGTAATACTTCGCAAAAAAAAGTACAATAAAAAACTATAACAATCTAGACGACGTACGACGAGCACTATGCATGATGCAGCGGCATATGTATTTATTTAGTATAAATTTAGAACTAACGGGTAATAAGATGCAAAGTAACGGTCTAAGTTAAATCAGTTATAATTCGCGTGCGAACGCGTAAGCAACGGAGGCGCTCGTGGTTAGTGAAGTGATCGTGCGTCGAAATAAGTGAAAGTGTTTGCAAAAGTGGAAAAAAGGACGTTCTCGAAGGACTCTACCTACAAATGACTCTGCAAAAGTGTTTGTTTAGTGTTTTATAACGTGTATCAAAGACACTTTTGTGTGTGTGTGTTTTTTTTTCAATAAAAAATAAAATAATTGCAATTTCCATTTTTCCACGCCGTTCGACATGTCGGCCAAAATGAATGTGGACGAAGTGCGCATTAGCCTTCAACGCTTCGGTTGGCCCGATTATGTGGTGTTCGTTTTAATGTTAACCAGCTGTGCGGTGATCGGTATTTATTTTGCGCTGCAAATGCGTCGTGAGGCGAAGTCACGCAAATCGCTTACAACAGAAGATGCCGAGGATGCTTATTTGGTGGGCGGCAGAAATATGAAGATTTTTCCGATCGCCATGTCGCTGATTGCAAGGTTAGTTGTGAGTTATAGATATAATTGATACTAAATCTACTAAGTTTTGAAGACAAACTCAACCCACTTGGTTCTGATAATCGGTTCTTCCTCAAAACTCAATAGAATAGTGAAGTGTGACCTTAACAAGATAAACATAATATCTTATAAAAAAACTAGCGGTGAACACAAGGTAAAAGCTAGTAGTCCAAGAATAAAAAAGCATTAACATCCAATGATATTATAGGCTCGGAAAAGAAAGATATTATCATGATTTATGAGACCTCTTAAATAAGTTCATTAAGCTAAAGTTCCTTTCCGCGCGATCCATACTAATGCAAGTAAGTTATAATTATCCTTTCCGCTTGTGAATACAATATAAGTCTCGATATAATAAAGGACCTCTGGCAAAATTTAGTGCGATGAACAACTTTGCTGCTCCCTTTCTTAGGCAGTTAACTATTATATCTCTGAGCATAAGTGTTCGGCCTTTCAATATAGAAAATAAATCTACAATACTATCGACTTTTTTATACAGTTTTGAAGTAAAGACAAGCAACAGTAAAAAGAATTCGAAGCCATGAAAGGTTTTATATTTTTCGGGGTCAGTGTTAAGTTAGCTAATATTTTGTTAGTTGAGGTTCTAAATCTGACCGGATCTTCGATCACACACAACCACACTTAGAGAGCCCTAAACAAGTCCGCTATGGTTCCGAACTGCTTATGATCAATCTAAACCCTCTTACTTATATTATACCATCAAAACGACTTGAATCCATACCAAACACGGTTAGACGTTAGATTTCTATTCCAGCTAGATTGCTTTAATGGCTAGGGTTATGAGATTACTAATGTTTCCCCCTTAATCTAGCGAAAGCTGGAGAATACAAAGGAAAGTGCTGAGCTGATTCTAGCTCATTTTCATCGTAAGAACTTCATCCACAAGCATCTGGCAAGTTTTTTAGACTCACCGTATGAATGTCCTTGGGGCAGTGCCTGGGTAAAAGTGAATTAGCGAAAAAGGTTTATTGCTTAAGGCGAGGAGCTCACTAGATGTCATGCTATTTATCAGGGCCTTGCAAATACGCAAGTATTGAGCTGGAATGAGCGATCAATAAGCTTACGCGATCGGGGATCACCCACAGCTACAATAAAGCAATAAAATTATCGAATCGGATCGCTTTCGTACAATTAAACGTTTGAGCAGCACTTTACTTCGCGAGTTAATAGAAATATCCCCCTTTTATGCATAATTTATTTTAATTAAATTAAAACTGAGTTACAGTAGGGGGTTCTCAATCACGTGGAATTGATTGCGAGTAATTTAGAACAATGTTTGGTATTAATAATTTTTTAAAGAATTACTGATTATTTTTAATTCGTTAACAATTTTTTTTAGACAGACCTGGCAGAGTTGCCAATCTAGCTGGTACGAACCGTTCAATTTATAAGTTTTTTTGGTTTTTTTTTTATTTTGCATGACATAAAACAATGGAATAAATAAATGTGGAAAAAGAACAAAAAAAGACGAATCCTGGTAAAAAATATGTCGAATCGAACAAGCGACTAGTATAGTTCAAGCAAGTAGACGAAAGTTTTCGTACAAAGCATAATATCCGAAATGTACCTTTTTTATCATTTACTCTCCAATACCCAAGTTTAGTTTAGTTATGTTTTGGAATGAAGCTGCCACATATCGAAAATTATATAACTAAAACTATTATACAATTTATTTAAACATAAGGCGTTAAAGAATAAAAATAAATAAGTATGTACGATATGGTCTAAATAAGGTAGTGGAAGGGCAGTATCCTGTTCAAGCGGAATTTAGAAAGACCAAAAACTAGAGAATATTTGCCCTTGTTGGCTAAAAAAGTCCACACAAAAGTCTTATATATGAACAAACGATTCCAAGAGAATTTAGTTATATAACTTATGTAACTGAAATTTATAAAAGAAACGAAAAGTGACAATATGAACACAGAATTGGAACTAATTATTCAAAAAAGCTGCCACCCATTAAAAAAAAGTAAGAAAACTTACGCAACATAAATTTCTTTTATAATATGGGTCTTAAATAAAAAAGTTTGAAGAAAGTGTCCAATTTTGAAAATATTTTAAGAACATTTTCCACATGTTTATAAAATATATTAAACAATAATTAGATACACCAGTTTTAAAACCAAAGCAGCCGCACCAAATATATTATATTTAGGAAAACTCATTATTGAAAATATATTTTTAAGGAGCTTTGCCAACTATTTAAAATTTTTAAGGGCAATAATAATGATTAAACAAATGGTTTTTAAAGAAACACACAACTGAAAAAATTTTGATATTAGTAGTGCCACCCGTTTAAAACAGCACTCTTCTGAAACATGGGTATAAAAAAGTTTAGTATAAAATAACTTAAAAGTGCTTACAGTTGAAACTATTCTTACAAACGCCTTGCCACCTGCTTAAAAACTTAAATAACATAAAGAAAAATTATAATAAAAACAAGAAAAAACGTTAACTTCGGTTGCGCCGAAGCTATAATACCCTTCACAAATACAAAGGCCCCTTACAAGAACTTGATTCCGAACGTTCAATTTGTATGGCAGCTATATGATATAGGGATCTGATCTGACCAATTTCTGTGGAGAATAATTTGTTGCCTTAAGCAATAACTCGTGCCTAATTTCGTGAAGATACCTCGTAAAATAAAAAAATGTTCCATGCAAGCACGTTACTCCGATCGTTCAGTTAATATGGCAGCTATATGCTACAGTCATCCGATCCATACATTTTCTTCGGAGATCAGATTAATGCTTTAAATAATAATACATGCCAAATTTTGTGAAGATACCTCGTCAAATGAAAGAGTTTTCCATACAAACACTTGATTCCTATTGTTCAGTTTGTATGGCAGTTATATGCTATAGTGGTCCGATATCGGCCGTTCCGACAAATGAGCAGCTTCTTGCTAAGAAAAAGACTTGTTCAAAATTTCAGATCAATATCTCAAAAAGTGAGGGACTAGTTCGCGTATATACAGACGGACGGACGGACGGACATGGCTAAATCAACTCAGCTCGTCACGGTGATCATTTATATATTATATATTCTTTATATGCTCTCCGCCGTTTCCTTCTGGGTGTTACAAACTTCGTGGCAAACTTAATATACCCTGTTCAGGGTATAGCAATCATTTCAATACGCGCATCAAACGAAGCAGAGTTAAGAATAATATCTCTGGGAGAAATTTCTCAGAAGGGTTGCCATTTTTCAGAAATTTGTTGTCAAATAAGTTTAGCACGTTTAAAATTTTTCAAAATTTATTGAGCATAAAAAAAGTTAATGTTGCGTGCTGCTGAAACTTTTTTCAAATGACTTGCCTCCTTTTTAAAAAAATTTAGTTTAAAAACAAATGATGTATATATGCTATCCGATTGTCTTTATATACGCGAACTAGTCCTTCAGTTTTTGAGATATCGATCTTAAAATTTCGCACACGTCCTCTCCTATCCAAAGGGCTGTTTATTTGTTAGAATTGTCCATATCAGAGTACTGTGCATATGGCTGTCGTACAAACTGACCGGTTAAGTTCTTGTAGAGAAAACAAGATATTTTCACGAAATTTAGAGAGTTCATAATCATTCAACTAAATTTGTACATATATTATCATCATATTTACATATTTATTTCAACAAGTTTCTACCTCAAGGTCTTAAAGGTGACAGCTGACACCAAAATCAGTGAGTCACTGACATAAGGTAATCAAACAATTTATGAGGGTGTAATTTGTGCGGCTTATGTAAATGCATATGAGTACATATAAAGATCTATATATATCTATATATAGGTGTCGAAATTTATTTCATAACAATTTGACAATGTTTGTAAAGATCGTATATGAAATATCACCCTCGTAGCAGCAACAAACGTTTGCGACCGATGCAATTTCATTTAGCATGCAACAAAATATGGTGCCATATGTATGTAGAGGAGTATATACATATGTATATGCTAGTATTTGTGTTTATAACATACACATACAGATATTTGCATAAATGTATATATAGCTAGTATATACAGACTTATATGCACAAACTTCACTCATAAAAATATCTTTGCAACTAACAAACGCAATAGATGCGGAGCGCAAGCTTCAAGCTATTTATACACATGAGTATTAAACCCCATTAATCTGCTTTACAAATCCGTACAACTTCCATACGATTTGCTTACAGTCGCTAAAGAAAGGCGTAATTTTGTGTTCCTTATGTGCCATAAGTATAGTATTTGAAGCAATTTAATAATTGTGTGGCAAATTAGACGCATTCGCGCACGAGCAGACAAACATACATACATACGTGTAAACATATATACACTCATCCACACACACACACACACGAAATAAAAACGTAGAAGGGGAAGCGACCCTGGTCCAATTGACAGCTACTAAACGCTGTATAGGTCAGCGACGGGCTTGTATGCAAAGTTGTCACTGTTCATTAAGAGCAGACTGAATTAAGATTTGACTGACGACCACTGATCGTTGTTGGTTTGGAAGCGGTTTGGGCTGCCATGCCTGAAGTGGAGAATGCGCCGGACCAACGGATGTTGGTGGGTGTATGCAACTATGCAAAGCAAAAAAAAAAAAAAATTAACAATAAAAAATTACAACACAAAATGCGAATGACTGACAGCGCAGTGAATGATAATACACAAATTGAATTTTAGCTAAAAATAAATCGCGCTCAACTAGGCAAATAAAGTAATGTGCAAAAAAGTAGAAAAAAACTCAAACGAAAGAATTAAGTGGAAAATACGGGCGTAATTTAATAAGTGTCGTAAACTATATGATATTAATAAACGAAGATTTGTTATAAATTTAGTTGGCGCTCCATTTGTGGTATTTGTAAGAGTTCTATAAATATAATATATAGCTATATATTGTATATAAGGCACGAAATATCCGCCGAGAGTGCTTAATTTTGTAAATATAGCAAAGTAGTGAACACAGAAATAGTCAATAAATTAAAATTGTGTTACTCGGAATCCTCGGGATTCCGCAAATTTTCGGGATTACAGAAATTTGTAATGTTTTCTCTTATAAAAGCGGAAAAACCAGTCAATAAATTTATATATGGTTTTTACACATTTTAGTGCAAAAATGTCGTGATTTTTATAAATATTTTCTAAATCTTCGCGATGGTAGCTCAAGTAAAAATATTAAATAAAAACGGGTACTAACTACCACTTCACTGTACATTAATTAATGTTTGTTAATACTTAATTTTATCATGTTTTATTTTTCTTACATGAGTTTTCGGGATCCCGAAAATTTGCGGGATTACAGCAAATTTCTAATTTTATCTTTTTATGAAAGCCTAAAAACCTCTCAATAAATGTTTATTTGAATTTTAAAATATCAGTAAATTTCATGCTATTTAGTTTTTCTAAATCTTCGGGATAGTACACTAAATATGTAATTTTTAAAAACAAACGGTTGCTGCTTGTCATTTAATTGTCACACCAACTTCATATTATACTGCGTCATTCTACTTACTGGCTCTTAAATTTTCTTCCCTACTCTATTATATTACTATTCCGCAGTTTTCGGGATCAGTCAAATATTGGATATAACTTCATTACACAAAACATTTTATTGCACATAAATTATTGATTTTTAATACAGTACTTTTCATCATTATAATATCTGACATTTTTTTCAATGAGTTTTCGGGATACCGAAAATATACCATACATATACAAATGTATGTAGTTATGTATTTTTTTAATCCTTCTGTTTATAAAATACTTCAATCAATAACTTCATTGCTTTACCACAGTATGTATAATTAGTGGTTTTTCACTTGCGGGATCCAAAAATTTGTTATGCAGCTTCATAATTATAAAACTTTCAGTAATTTGTCACTATAGTGCTTTGTTGTTGTCGAAACTGCCTAGCTTAACAATATAAGTACATTTTCTTTTGTTTTTAAATAAACATACCGTATATGAAATACTTTTTTTCCTCTAGCCTATTACTTTTTATTTTTGACTGCCGTGCTTTCAGATCTCGGAAGTTTGATGAATTAGATCATTTTGCATATGTATACCCTGAATTTATATTAAGTTTGCCACGAAGTTTGTAACACCCAGTAGGAAACATCGAAGACTCTATAAAATATATACATAGATGATAAGCATGATGAGCTGAGTTGATTTAGCCATGTCCATCTGTCTATCCGTCTGTCTGTCCGTCTGTCTGTATATATACAAACTAGTCCCTCAGTTTTAAAGCTATCGATTTGAAATTTGCACCTGTCCTATGCTCAACAAGAAGATGCTCATTTGTCGGAATGGCCGATATCGGACCACTAAAGCATATAGCTGCCATATAAATTGAACGATCGTAATCAAGTTCTTGTAAGGAGCCTTTGTATTTCTGAAGGGTATTATAGCTTCGGTGCAAGCGAAGTTAACGTTTTTTCTTGTTTTTCTTTTGTTCATTTACAAAATATATAGTAATTTATCGCTGAAATTCTTCTCTAAATAGTAGCAATTAAAATTCGTATACGTATATCCGGAATCCCGAAAGTTTTCGGGATTTTTTCATCTTTTTGTTCATATGCAATACATATTTATTTCTCGCTAAAATTCTTCTTCCTACTTAAACATTTTAAAACTACAATTTCTATATGTATTTTCGGAATTCCGAAAATTTTCGAAACAATTTCATTAAAAAAAGGGCTTACGTGTGTTAATCAATATTTTCCATTAATTTGTTTAATATATATATGGATATTATTTGGGGATCCCGAAATATTTTGGGACGATAAAAATTTTTAAGGTTTTTGCTTGTTAATAAATTTTCTTATCCACTTACTCTATAAATGGTAATTTAATCATTATTATTGTAACGTATGTATAACGATTATATAATTCATAGCATATGTATGTACCTACATACATTTATATTTATATATGCACACACATACATGTGTACATATGAACACGTGTACTAAATGTATGTGCAGAAAAAAAGCATTTAAAAAGTTAAACTAATCTCCAAAAAACAAAAAAAAAAAAATTTGCCATGAAAAAATTTGAATTATTTTCGCATTGGCATATATTGATCAGAGAATTTTTAATTTCAATCTTATGGCATGCAAACCTATCGCTGTGAAATTAAAAGTTATAAAAATAAAAAATAAAATAACAAAAATATTTATTCGAGGCACGTATGAAAGCCCTTTGTCAAAGCGAGCGTTGAAAACTGCGGGCGAAAACCTTGCATACATATTAACATATGGTATTTACAAAACAGCTACTGAGTGTGAAACTGACAGCGGTATATACATATGTACATATACCAAAATAGCTTTAATTTATTTCAGTAAAATATTTTAAGTTTGAGGCATTCCCAGTTCAAACAAAAGCACGTTGTTAGTGTATTCATAGTTCATAAACTAAATTTATGAACCGATTTTAATGTTTTTAAAATATATTTTGTTATACTTGGACAATTTAAGAAAATTATAAAGTTAGCACCTGTTTGAAATTACTTAACTAAAAAGAAAAAATACAATACAAGAAAGCAACGAAAACATAATATATAATTACTGGGAGGATTTTCATGAGGGTTGCCACTTGTTTAAAAGCAACTATATTTTTGCAATTTAATAAACTAAGAAGTTAAAGATATTATATTAGCGTAAAAAATTTTTTTTTTTTTTGGAAAAGCTGCCACCTGAAGGAAAAACTTGTTTAGTTAAAATAATTAGATAACCATTAATAAAATGTATAATTATGTAAAGTATAAGTAAAAAGGTTTAAAAGACCTCAATTGAAATTAAATTTCGGAAAATATTGCCATCTGTTTAAAAAATGTATTTTATAAAAATAATTTTATGATAAGAAAATTTAATAGAGTTGAAAAAATTTAATAAAGCTTGGGTTTGAAAAAAAATTTTCAGAGTGGTTGCCACTTGTTTAAAGATTTGCGACTAAATAATTGGCGTATAAACAAATTATATTGCAATATTTACAGTATTTATAACACTTTGAAGTGTAGTCGTATGCTTACGACGCATCCGAAAAACTTATTATAATTTTTTCTTACATTATGAACAGACCTATATAAGGCAGGAATATCTTTTTTCATTGGCATATATTCTGCGGTTTAACTATTTTGTTTCTTTTTTAAGAGAAAATATTTAAAAGCATAGTAGAGAAAAATAATTGTAACTATAATGGAAAAGAAGCTGCAAAAATATTACCCCAATAAAAGGCCTTTTAATCGAGAGTGCATAAGAAAGGTTTCGAAATGTATATTATTATTTTCAAATACTGCTACGATTCAAGCTCATTAGTTCCAGAAGCATTTACAGTTATATCGATTAGGCGAAACCTTCTTGTATTTCAAAGTGTCAAATTAGATAATGATTTAGTTATCTACGGCTATTATAGGACCAAAATCGCTAGGTTGCTTGGTTGTTTACTTCGAAAAAGCAGACCTTGGAGCAGACCAAGCCAAAAAACTCTGCGATCTATGAACCAATGAAAGAAAACGTGAGAGAACCACTTTGAGTTTCATAAAGTACCTATTTTCTAAACCTTGTCTAAATTTTTTGATTGCCATTTTATTTCAACCAAAGCTGAACTTCTTTTAAATAAAACTTCGACCTATTCCCGCAAACCTTTTCTAAAACAATTAATTTCTGGCCTAGATCTAAAAATTACTTTAGAGATTATTAAAGAATTTTAGTTGACTTATCGAGCATCATACGTATTCTAACCACAAAATTTTGAACTGATTTTTACAGTTTCATATCTGGCATAACGCTGTTGGGCACACCAACAGAAGTATATCTCTTCGGCACACAGTATCTCTATATCATGGGCTCGTTGGTGATCATGGGCTTCGTGCTTTACTATTTCTTCCTGCCAGTATTCCATGATCTCAAACTAATATCCACATATCAGGTAAGAAAATTGGCTCTATTTTATAGTGCTTAAGTCTATACTTTTTATACGTTTTCTACCGTTAGTATTTGGAGTCGCGTTACGATCGGCGAATGCGTCTCTTCGGTTCTGTGCTCTTCATGTTTGGATCGGTGAGTAAGATTAAAGAAAAAATGCACATATAGCAAGTATAGAGCACTTCGTCACTTTTCTCGCTATTTTCAGTTATTATGGCTGCCAATTGTCATTTATGTCCCCGCACTGGCCTTCAATCAGGCCACGGGCGTTAATATACATCTAGTAACGCCGATCGTTTGTCTAGTGTGCATTTTCTACACCTGTGTGGTAAGTAGACAGCACTGACGAAACGGGATTTCTATTTAAAAATTACTATTCTCTTTGGTTAGGGCGGTCTGAAAGCTGTCGTTTGGACTGATGTTGTGCAGACTATCATTATGTTCGGCGCCATGGTTTTGATCATAGTCAAGGGCACCATTGATGTAGGTGGTTTTGGTGAGGTTTATCGAAAAGCGAAAGAGAGCGGGCGCATTGAGACACCGAAGTAAGTTTTTTGTTACTACTCTTCATTTTTTATCGATCTACTATCAGCTACTACTTTCCGCAGTTTTACCTTTGATCTCACCGAACGTTACACCGTCTACTCGCTCTTTATTGGCGGCGTCGCTCATTGGTTAAAATCGAATGCGATCAGTCAGAATATGATTCAACGCTATCTCTCGCTACCAAACATGAAATCGGCGCGCACCGCGGTTTGCCTCTTCATATGCGGTGTGTTGACTTTTATTTGCCTTTGCGGCTACAGTGGTCTGCTTATCTATGCGACCTACCACGATTGCGATCCATTGCAAACAAAGGTTCGTTTAAAAAAAAAATGCTTTAGAGAACTTAGTCTAAATTTATATTTCCAGCTCGCCAAACGAAATGATCAACTATTGCCGCTACTTGTAATGGAAATACTGGGTGATTATCCCGGTTTGCCGGGCCTCTTCGTTGCTGGCGTCTTTAGTGCTGCGCTCTCTTCACTCTCCACTGGCTTGAATTCTATGTCGGCGGTGATGCTCGAGGACTTCTTCAAATCATTTGCAAAAAAGCCACTCACCGAGCGTCAGACCGCACTTATAATGCGTTTTGTTGTAATCATATTTGGTGCAATATGTGTGAGCTTGGTTTTTGTTGTAGAAAAACTTGGTACAGTGCTACAGTTGACCATAACTTTATCGTCCGTTGCGAATGGTCCACTCTTAGGTATATTCACGGCGGGTGTTATGGTGCCCTGGATTGAGGGAAAGGTGAGTGGTCAAATGAAAGCCTTGTGTAAGCTAAAAATTAATTGCCACCTTTGCTATTTACAATTTTTAGGGTGCTCTAGTTGGTGGCCTTAGCAGTCTCCTCTTCATGGCCTGGATGTGCATACGCGCTCAGGCAGATCTCGCTAGCGGCGCCGTGAGCTATCTGCGCAAGCCACATACCATAACGGGTTGCAATTATACCTTCGTAGATTTCGCTTCGATGAGTATGGTGGCCGAGAATATTACCGAGCACTCATCGACAGTGCATTTGGAGTGAGTCATATAGAAATTTTTGAAAAAATATTTACTAAGTATACTAAAAAAATAAATGATATGAAAATAAAATGGAATATAACAGCTATTTGCTAGAGTAATCCGATTTGATCCATTTCTTCGGAGTTTATAGTGATGCTTGGAACAATATTCTGTATTCCGAATTTCGTGAAGATGTCTTGTCAAATGAAAAGTTTTCCATACAGAGATATGACTTTGATTGCTCCGTTTGTATGGCAGCTACAAATATGCTATAATAGAGCTATTTCGATTCTAACAAAAGAGCAAGTTCTTGTGGAGAAAATGACATATACAAAATTTCAGACCGATAGCCCAAAAATTGAGGGACTAGCGTATATACAGACGGATAGAGAGACCGACAGACGGTCATTGCTAAATCGACTCAGCTCGTCACGCTTATCATTTATACATATGTGCCATATATATACACTATAGGGTCTTCAACCCTTCTGTGTGTTACAAACTTCGTGGCAAACTTAATATACCCTGTCCAGGGTACAAAAATTATAATTTTATAAATTTTTGTTTTCTTAATAAAATTATTAACTTTTTTCTGCAAAGCAATAAAAATATCCTCAAAACTCTTTCAACAGAAACGACACCTTCCACATCTACAATATCTCCTATCTCTTCTACACGATGTTCGGCTCGCTAATAACCATCGTGATCGGCTTGATCACCAGCTTTCTCTTGGGTGCAAATAAGCTGGAGAACATGGATACAATGTTACTGTCACCCTGTGTGCGACGCTGGGTTGATCGCTACAAAGCGCGAAGAGCGCTAAAAAATGGCGCACTACAACAAACCAAAACACCGGCAAAAGCGCTGGAAATGAACAAATTGAAATTAGCGAAACTCTCAGAGAAGCCTACGTAAAAGTAAAAGTAAGCGGTTACGAAGAGCGCCAGTGAAGGAAGAGAGCAGCTAATTTTAAGCTAAATTTTATTTATTGAAGGCTTAAGGCGAGCTACCAAAGAGAATTAGTGAAGAAATTAAGTTTAATATTAATTTAAAGTGCGAAAGGAAGGCAAATATATATTTGTGTAGCTACATTAAGACGCCACTTTCTATATAAGCGTTTATATAAGTGAATTGTAAATACTATGCATTAGTAGACAAGTTATAGTGTTTAGCATTTTAAATAGCAATAAGCAAAGCTGCAAAAAAACTAATATTAAAATGTTCCTATAAATTATTGTAAATACAAATACAAATCATTCTCCCATCAATATTTGTTGCATTATTTCGGGTCTAATTACTACGATTATGTTACTTAAACCCCCACATACCGCTCCAACTAATACTTCAAAGCCTGCCTACGGGGCAATACCGGCACATACATTTATTTTTTTCGAAATCATTTATTGTGTTGTTTATTTTTGCCGCCTCAAACTATCCATAGCAGATTAGTTCTTTCACCCTAAATACGAAAAATGCCTACTGGCGCGGCAGACCCAGCGCTAACCTCAAACTAATGACCCGCATTTTGCGTATGCACCCCTCTTAATTGTTAACTAAACCCTTTTGCGCCGCTAAAAATTCGTCTTTCATCTTTTTTCGTTGCGTAGGCCGTCTGTACCATTCGGTTTGTATGCGAAAAAGGTCATTTTACTATTTGTTATGCAATGTTTTTGAAAGTTAATTGAAAATTTGTGTCTTTTTGACCAACAACAAGCTTCGTTGTTATTATAAGTAATTACTAGTTGTTTTTGTTTATTTGGCCTGCTGTCTTTGATTGTTGTGGTGTGTTATTTGTTTGTGGTTAGATAGAACTTAATTGAATAGTTAATTATTTGGGAAGATTTTAAGAGAATTGCAAAGGAAATAATTTTATTTCGATTTTCTAATAGTGGTAATGAATAGCAGCAAGTTGTCTGAGTCTCTGTTTTAGAGTCTATAACCTTGAAGTATGTGCTCTATAAATTTGCAAAGCAGCTGAATGCTAGTTCCATAAAAATGTATAAATGTTCTCATGATCCATATTTTTCACTAAACCACAAACAGTCCACAGTTGGGACGTTTTCACTCACACTTGGCATTAACTAATTGATGAGAGAGTAGTCTCTCGCAGTGGTGACACAAAATGCGTAAAAATGCCGAATGGCTTGACTTCGTTACATTTTCTTCGTCGATTTCTGGTTGTTATATGGCAATAACAAAAAAAAATGGTCTTCCGTGCAAATAACATATTCCCGGCCATCACATAGATGCAGGAAAATGTATAATTATAATTAAACCAATCAGAGCCTTACTAATGTGAGAAGCAATTTATTGTAGTAAGACCATAGTAGTTTCAACAATCACCCAGAAATTTTTTTTTGGTATTTTGACTTTCAGCACTTATTCAACTTAATAAAGTGAAAGCTGAATAAAGCGCTGAATACCAAAGTTATTTGAAAGCTTGGTAAAGAGTTTCAAAACTATTGTATTATTTGTCCATCATCGTTGCTATTGACGAACTTTCTACAAAAGAAATGCTAACGGCAACTAATCGAGGTTCCTATTGTTATGGTAGGGGTACAAATGCTTTAAGACAAGATTACTGATCCACAGATTCATGGCACCTTTGGAAACCATAGTGGGAAACAAACTTCCTTAAAATCTAACCTCAATTTGTAAAATATCTACAAATATAAACTACAACTAAGGCATAAACACTTGAGACTCTATATCCAGTGAGGAAGAGAGGGGGAGATCGGGAACAAATCCCCCCGGGCCTGGAGTTCTCAGGGAAACCCGGTGCTCTGCAACAATATTTTGGAGATTTTTTTCTCCAACAATTCTCTAAACTCAACCACGGGCACCGGTTTTCCCTCTACTGTCCTGCCTATGGTCATTCGCTCTTAGTCGATCGTTCACGAAAAGAGTTGGTGTTTCTTCTATCCACAAATCTTAATGAGAAGTTCTTACTTCAATTAGTTCCTTATAAATAGACGAGTCGAAAATAAGATATAAAATCGGTCGGTACTTAATTGAAGTAGATAATATACTAACTGTATTTAACTCCATCTTCTGACAAACATAAACTAATTTTCCATAAGCTCGGCAGCAAGAAAAGTCTTTTCACAAAATTCCTTATCCATTCGGAGTCGGCTAAAGACTTCTAGGTCTATTGTTTCTTATATATCAAGGCTCAGATAACAAATTAAAGATATCGTTGAAAATTTTTCTAGTGAGTACTTCTTAAATGTCCACTTCTAAGTAGATCGTTTTATTTAATATTTTGTTCCTATAATTATAAAAAAATCTTGTACATTAGTAAAGTTCAAAGTATTGACCATCAGAAACTATAACATTTTTCAATCTTTTCAGCTGTGCTTCTATGGATTCCATCTGAAAAGAACTGCGTCGGCTTGGCAGCCAAGAATGAAGTAAGCCAATTTTTGATACCGACCGGAACAAATGGTAGTCAGAGAGTAAGGCAAGTGAGGCAAAACTTCCCTGCCGCTATTTTCCAAATAGGTTTTGACTGGTTTCGCCACATGAGACCGAGCATTTCAGCAATTACTCATTTAAAGTTAAGAGTTGTTGTCAGTGTTCGCCATTAATAGTTTCACTGGGTTTTAGAATCTTCTAATACAGCACGCCCTACTTCTAACCAACCAAATTCAAAGCATTACCTTGGCGTCATGGATATTTTGCGTTGCCGTTGATTTTGTAGGGTGTAGCATAATCGTCTTTCAATGTCTCTTAGCTTCAATCCATATGGCACCCGATCCCCTTGCTTTTTAATGTATATTTGAATGGAGGACTCGATACTTTTAGAAGCCGTGCTTGTACAGAGAAAACCCAGGAAACAGTAAGTACACTTGTATGTATATGAATAAGGTGTTCTTGGAATCCCAGAACGTTATTTCTGAAAATGGACTCTCGGAAATCCTATCCAAAGAGTTGACTTCTCGAACTTTCCCGACCAATACAACCTATTTATACCCGAGGAAGCTTCCATGGATAATGTTTTGAAATATGAAAAAATTTCAGAGTTGCATATTTATGCCCTGAGCAGATCAAATATAATTTTTTCCCTACTAATAGAGTATTTCTATTACTCAAACCATTATAGTTATAACGGCATAATATGACTTTGACAGAATAAACAACACTATACAAACTATTACCAGAACGGATGTCAGCCGAATGCAACCCGTCAACTGCTTGCGTTTAACATATCTGCAAAAACACGAGATAATATAAGGCAGCATCCCATTAGTTATGTCAACTCTTTTATGCCGCCAGTGTCAAAACATAAGCGTGTACAAAGAGCGCCGAAAAACAATTATAGCCGAAATAACATGAGTACACATTTTTGATTTTTCTACTACTATTTTGTAGTTAATTTTTTACTTTGCACTTAACCCCCAAAAAATGCGTAATGGTGGGGTAAAATAATAATTAAAATTGTTGTAAAATCGCACATAAAAGACAACCGAAAATGTGCGGTACTCCTACACAAAATTGTGGCCTCTAGGAAAAGTGTAGTAAGAAAATTTAAATGTAATGAGCTTTCATAATTTTTTCACATTAAAAAACTTCGGGCTTTTGGCTTAGTATTACACCTTTAATAGTATCCTAGTGTCCATAATAGGTTTCACAAAACCTAGTGCAGTAAGTTTAGGCTAAAAAAAATTATTTATAAGGCCATACTCGACCCAGAATGAGTTCTTACAACAAATAAAATATTATGGTATATCCCTAGAGTATTACCAAAGCTGCGAGAGCTTAAGAGCTAAATTTAAACAAAAGCAACTTTCATCTTTTTTGATCTTTACTAGTTTGCCATTCTCTCCACTATTGAAAGCTGTGTACAGCTAACATAGGGTATATGAATCTTCAATTGCGGACATTGACTGGGAAAGTGAAATAGATAAAGATGAAGATATAAATTTGGCTGTATAATGCCCACCATTCTAGAATAATTTTTCTCAGCTAGAGGATCAGGCAACTAAGAATGTTGTTTACTTCTATACGTATCAGACAAACCTTTACATCAAGTCTGTAGCTTCACACATAGTTTTACAAAATTACAAATTTTACTATCTATATTCAGGAATCAGCTAAATGCAAAGTCGGCTGCCAAGGCTAGATCAAAATGAACGAAATTATAAACCTTTTGGAACAAATGGAATAACAGAACCAAGGGTTTCGCATACTTTTGTGTTCTCAGCGCCAATTTTGCTAGCCATTGTTAATAACATTAAATATTTAAATAACTTTATTTTCAACGAAGGATGATTGGACTTCAAATAGCGAAGGATTCCATCGTTTTTAAGTTTAAAACCCTCTAGAGAAATAACGGGAAACTTCACACAAAAAATCATAGCAAAATTGATAAAATATGATATTATAACTGAGATCTAAGAGAAAAAAATGGAAAGTATAGAAAAAAAAACACCTTTATAGACCTTTATATAGGATCTAAGAACTTGCAGCTAACTTAACACAACACAAAGGTAGAAAGCGAACTTATATCAATTAACCTCACTAATTCCTATAGGGTACTCACTAGCGCACTATAAATGTACAAAAAAAAGAACATATCATATTATTTTGTTGAAATAATAGTTGCTAGCGGGTAACGGCTGTATGGAAATCCACATTTGTAGTTGTAGCGTCACATTTCCCCATTGATTCGTTTTTGATGTGCAGCGCCGCATTCGCCTCGACGCAATTCACTAACAGACGGGTGTGCGGCCCCGGACCCATTGTCGTTTCCGTTTTGCTCTTGTCACGGCCGCTGTCTTTGCTGCCGCTGCGGCCATTTGAAACCCGCTTTTGGGCGCTTTTCGGTTGCCAGCTTCCTTGATGTGCTGGCGCTATGATGCTTTGTGTTAATGATAAAATTTTAATTATAAAATTTTTATTTCATTACTTTATTGTAGTTGACATTACCTTTGGGTGCATTACGACACATTACCCGCTGCTATTATACCAAGCAGCACAAAAGCGGGTGTGTAAAGAAAAAGCTTTTAAAATGTGTTATTGTTGTTGCTGAGTAGATTGTAATGGATTAAATAATAATGGAAAATATTTTTCAACAAAATTTTATCAAAGACAAATAATTACTGTTATCATGAATTTCATTGAACGATCTCAAAGCGAAAATTTTACCTCAAGAGTCATGGACCCAAGACTCGACTGAACCCTTTCTTACGCATGTGTGACTTCCACTCGTTGATTGGTTGGCTGAAACGTAAGCAGGGTCAGGTTTACTTGAGTAATCCCTCGATTT